CTGGGGGATTGAACCGCGGTCCCTGATGCTTTGCCAAGCTTGTTCTAAGTAGGTGCCTTAGACCACTGAGCCATCTCTCCAGCCCCTATTGAGTTTCTTTATCATGGTAGGAATTTGAGCTAAATGGTTTTATGTGTAGTATTTAATGTAATCCTTGCTACATTCCTTAAAAATTATTTTCCTCCAAGTTATATAGCTCTTATTGTATGCCACATAGTTTTCTAGATAAGTCACATGGACTTACTTTTATTATTCATGTTTATTCCTGAAGCATAGTGATGAACTGAACATTTTTTGGTGCTTGAGATTCTGGAGTGACAAAAGACACAGTCCAAGTCCTTTGAGTCCAAAGTATTCAGAAGAGTTTCCCTTTATAGATGTTATAAACAATGGGTTATTAATGAAATGTGTAATTATGATTTTAGATTAATATCCAATTGTTTATTTTAAATTAAAATTTTAAAAAATAATGTGTAAACCATAGTCACTATTTTGAAGGAAAATATTTTCCTGTTTTCTTCTCTACTACAGAGCTACACCTCCAGCTCTCCAGGAATTTTTAAAAATGATTGATTGATTGACATATTAGGACTTAAACCCAGGGGCATTCTACCACTGAGCTATATCCCTGGCCCTTGTTATTTTTTATTGCAAGACTGTCTTTCTAAAATTTTTAAATTTAAAATATTTATTTTTATTTTATTTTGTTTTATTTTATGTATTTTAGTACAGGGTCTACAAGTCTTGCTACACAGATTGGCCTCTAGTGATCCTCCTGTTTTTAGCCTCCCAAGCACTTGGATTACAGGCATGCTCCACCACTAGTGTCAGTTGCAGCATGCCCTGGGAGCATGGCTAAAAAATTTATTTTTTTGAAACCTTCCAAAAGGTACCAAGTTTTGTTTAGTGTAAACACCAATTTTTGTATGTTTTTATATTCATTTAGCATATTTGCTTTTTCCTTAGGCCAAAAATATAAAGTACTTTCTTTTTATCTGTAATTGCTATTTTGTAAAGTGGAATATTTTCTCCTTACTGGTGGATTCACTTTCTGTGGTTTCAGTTATCTGTGGCTGTTGGCATCTAAACATATTGAGGGGAAAATTCCAGAAGTATGTAATTCATAAATGTTTTGTTTGGTTTGATGCTGGGAATAAAACCCAGGGTTTCCTGTGATCAGTTACTGCTAGCCTCTTCATTGATACATTTTAAGTTGGGCACCATTCTAAGTAGCATGGTGAAATGCTGCCGGAACATGAATTATCTCTTTCTCCAGAGTCTCCACGTTGTGTATGCGACTCACTTATTAGTCAGTACTAGACATCTCATTTGTCAGATCCAACTGTCGCCATATCCCAGTGCTTGTGTTCAGGCAACCCTTACTTTACTTCATGATGACCCCAGTGAGTGTCTTTGTGTGAAGAAGTTACCAGGCATAAAACATGGAAGGGTAGATTAAGTATAGTACTGTAGAGTGTGCTTCAAGGCATGAGAAAAACACAGAATATGTAGGATTCAGGGCTTTCTGTGGTTTTATTATCTATTTTAAGGTCTTGGAACATCTTCCAGTGGGTAAGGGGATACCACTGTGTTAGATATACTAGAGCTAATTAATACTAAAATAAAGTAGTCAGAGTAAGTTAGATGTGAGCTGAATCCTTAGAATTTTGTTACAGCAGGATTAAAATTTATTTTTGCTTACTAGTGTCCATTTTGGAGTACAATATAGTAGTGTGAATAAAATCAGAAAAATAAAATTTAAGTACCCAATAATGACAATTATAATCCTAGTTGAATACTTTGGTATGTGAAAGGTATGGAATTGTATTTCCTCTTGAAAAATATCTGTTCAAAAAAATTTTTGTATTTGGTGCTGGAAATTGAATTCAGGACCTTGAGGTGCCAGGCAGGCACTTGTGCTGCTGAGCTATCTCCCCAGCCCCTCCATTTTTTTATAATGACTTATACTAATTAGTTTTATTTAGATGTATTTTATTAAAAGCATTATTTGAATGATACTCATGGTTTTTTGGGGGTGGGAGGATACTGGAGATTAAATCCAGAACCTTCGGCACTGAGCTATATCCCCAGCCATATGTATGTGTGTATGTATATATGAGACAGGGTTTCCCTAATTGCGGAATTGTCCAGGCTGGACTTGAGTTTATCCTTCTACCTCAGACTCATGGATTGCTAAGATTACAGGCATGTGCCATTGTTCCCAGCTGATGTTTGCTTTTGTAAATTTAACTGTCTGTTAACAACAGTAAGTCTCTTAACACTGAAAAAGACACACCTAAAAATAAACACGTGTAAGTTAGGGCTGTTGCATCATACTATAGTATGTATATTTATTTCACCTCATTATTGTTTAGTCTTTTAAGGTCACCTATTCTATAGATTTGATGTTCTCTGATTGATTGTCTAATCTGTGCTATAGATTACTTGTTTTTTTTTTTTTTTTTTTTTTGGCAGAACTGGGGATTGAACTCAGACCCTTGCACTTGCCAGGCAAGCGCTTATTCTACTGAGCCATCTCCCCGGCCCCAGATTACTTGTTCTTAATAGCAATTTCTGTAATAAAAAATTCCATGGGAGCCATATCTTTTTTTTTTTTTCTTCATCCTTTTTCCTGGCAGACAAAGGGAGTACACAGAGCATTTGGAAGAGAGTGAGTTTCCTGTCTAGGACAGAAGTACCTAAACCACATTTTCAGTTATAATGTCACCAAGTAGGCATTAGGTAATCAATTATGATGACTTCCTTGTTATGTCAAATAGAGATGATGGTCACACTGCTGGGACAAACCTCAAAAATTATGTAAGACACTCCCAGGAGATGGACAAGTGTAATTGGTTATTATCTGTTAATAGGAAGAGGCCTAATAAAAAATTGAGTTTCTAAGATTATGCAAGTATTCCGTGGACATTGGAGAAATAAATAGCAGGTGAACTTGAACAGTCTGCTTTTTAATTGAATTGAGCAATTTAATTTGTCTTTTACAGTCTCTTCTTGTGACAGTGAGGACAGCTCATGTGATTTTACGGTGAGTAGAAATTTGGGATAGAAGTGCTTGAGGTCTACTCATTCCATTGACTTTAAAGATATAGCAGGTATAAAATACATATAGATGTACTAAACTGTACCATAGTTAAACTAATTTCAGTCACGGTGGTACATTCACATTGTTTTTCTGCTTCTGTGTTGCAGATATGTAATTCATCTGTGGGACCTAAACCATGAAGGGACTTGGGAAGGAAAGGGAACCTATGTCTATTACACTGATTTTGTCATGGAACTCACTCTGTTGTCCCTTGATCTCATGCACCACATTCACATGCTGGTAAGTTTCCTCACAAAGAGTTATGACACAGAACTAAGACTTTCAGAACCTTGGTTTCTATATTTTTTTTTCTTTTTCTTTTTTTATGTTTTATTTTTTGTATTTTAGGGAAGGATCTACAGGGTGTTCAGCGTCTCACTACTAGATTGGACTCGTAGTGATCCACCTGTTAACAGCCTCCCAAGAGCTGGGATTATAGGTGTACGTCACCACGCCCAGTCTCAATTGCCATCTCAGCACCCCTGGGGCAGGGCCGGCATGATAGGCCCAGGGATCAAACCCCCTGCCCCTGTGCCTGCTTGCAGGTGCTTCAATCTGCTGAGCTATTTGGCTGGCACTATATATTTTAAAAGGAAACATTTAGAATCAGATGTGGGTGAACCACTTAAAAAGTGAAAAAGTGAACATGGCCGTGCATCCTCTTTTTGCCAGTGTGTGTATAGCAGTGTTGTAGAACCTGTGTGGATGATGCCCATCTCCAGAGGCTGTTGCTGTCCTATGAGACTTAGTAAATTCTGTTGACCAAGTCAATAGATAATGTTTTTAGCATAAAAGTTCACGCATTCTATGCTAATAAAATTAAAGTGATGCCTCTCCCCATACTTTCTGTGGCTTCTCATATGTGGCGTTTACTATGTAGGTGGTAATGGGAATTCCTGCAGTGTTTGCTACTTCATGAAGTCATAAATTTTTCATCTTTTTTTTAATATGTGTCAGAAATTGAATTCAGGACCTGGCACTTGCCAGGCAGGTGATGTGCCTCTGACATATCCCCAGAAAACTTTTAATCTTTGTAATTAAAAACATCTTTATACTTAATTTCTGCTACATGGGTCTTCTGTGTCAGAAATTATGTACATCTGTTCATTGCTTCATTAGTCTAATGATGAAGATCTGAATAGTTGATGGTCAGTTTATTTACATCATAAACATATCAATTAGTGTTTAAAAATTATTGGGTTAAATCCTCAGTACTGCAAAAAATAAAAAAATAAAAAAAATAAAAATTATTTTATGGGTTAGATATAACTTTTTTTTGCAAGGGGAGTACCAGGAATTGAACTCAGGACTTCATACTTGCCAGGCAGGTGCTGTGCCATTGAGCTATACCCCTGGCCCCTAACAGTTCTGAGTCTATTTGAAAATAACTTTGAAAACATACTTTAGAAAAACAAAAGCATTTAATTCTTTTGTTTAAAATAGGTTCCTCCTTCCCTTAAAAAATGGGAAGACAAATGCCCACAGATAACTGTTAATGTTTTGTTGTATTTATCTGATTCTTTATATATTTAAATATATATATTCATTAATTGATTCCTATTTTAGACATTTAGTTTTATTTATTTACTCAGTTTTGTGGTACTGGGTGTTAGACCCGGGACCTCATGCATTCTATGCTTTATTATTTGTTTTAAGATGTGGTTTCCATAAGTTGCCAGGGGGACTTGCTTTTGCAGCTCTTCTGCTTCACTCCCGAGGGCTAGCAGTGTAGCTGTGTGCCACATGGTTGCACACATTTTCTTTTAATGCTAATGTAGTACACATAGTTTTTTTTTTTTTAATGCTAGCAACAGTTCTTTCAAAGCATATTAATACCTTCCTGAAAAAAATTCATCATATAGATATACCATAATTTAACCAAACCCCACAGTGGGCTATTAAGATGTATTTAGGGCCAGGGAGATGGCTCAGTAGGATAAGCGCTTCCCTCACAAGCGCAAGGGCCTGAGTTCAATCCCTGGTTCTTTCATCTGCTCTTTAGAGCTTCTAGTGTAGCATGCATCTTCATCATTGTGAACTTACATTCATATTTATTGTGTATATTATTCTTTTTCTCTCTAAGTTATTTGGCAACATCTGGTTATCCATGGCCAGCTTGGTCATTTTTATGCAGCTGCGGTACCTATTTCATGAGGTACAGCGTCGAATCCGTCGGCACAAGAACTATCTGCGCGTGGTTGGGAACATGGAAGCCAGGTAAGTGAGCACAAATCGATTATTATCCCAGTTCACACATTTAGCTCGGTAGTAAAGACAAGACTATGTATCAGAACTTGCTTTTATAAACTATTAACTGGATAATGATGAGAACAGGCTCGGGGGTCACATTGCCTCTGTTTGAATCCCACTTAATGACTCTGATGAGAGATCAAAACCTTTTTTACTGATAGATTCTTCTGTAATTGTGTCATTGTAAAAGTGACTAAAGGTGAAGTCTGTAAAATGACATGTGTGTGTAAAATTGGAAGAAATTTGGCCTGGGCATGTTTTGATTTCTTTTACAGGTTTGCGGTTGCAACACCAGAGGAGCTGGCCGTTAATAATGATGACTGTGCAATCTGCTGGGACTCCATGCAGGCCGCAAGGAAACTGCCCTGTGGACATCTTTTCCACAAGTAGGAGCTTTGTGAAGGGCCGTATGGACCTATTGTTTTGTCCAGGGGATGTGGCTGTTTTTGTACCTCGGTTAAAGACTAATCTCAGCAAGGACTGCGAACATTACTGTCCATGTTGCTGATACTTGTATTGTGGCGAGCTTTGACTGTACTTCTCTGTCATTCAGCCTCTTTCTGTGTCCTCGGGCCTGTTCGTTGCTTATGCGCTGCCATCTTAATTTCTGTGTATGTGGCTATCTTCATATCTTTCCCCTACTTACATTATTAGGTATAATAAATATGCCTGTAAGACTTAAAAAAGGGCGCCAGGAGGAATCCTTATTTTCAAGTAGCTTACTATGTAATTTTTTTTTTTTTTGTGGAACCAGGGATCGAACTCAGGCCCTTGCGCTTGCCAGGCAAGCACTTATTCTACTGAGCTATCTCCCTGGCCCTTACTATGTAATTGAGAGAAAAAAATACATATATTTTGCATTTTGCACATGGGTAAGACCAGCATAAGAACATGTGCCAGAGAGGTAGACTGAGAAAGGGACTAGAGCAGAACCACACTAATGAGGGCAAAATTGTGACTAGCAGGGAGGGTTACAAAACAGGCTCTTCTGTAAACTTGGAAGATTGAAGTCATCTCTCATTTTTAGAGATTGCTTCAGGCCCCTATATAGCCTAAATCATTCTCTTCATAGGTTGGCTGTTTTGACACTGAAGGGCCTTTTGGCCTTTTGCATCTGTGGTTAGTGTTGCATATTGAGAATCATCATTTTTTTCTTACATATTCCCAAATTGTTTTTATAATCTTTAAAACATTTAAAAATATTTTATTTATTTATGTATGTATTTGGCACAGGGTCTTACTACACAGCTTGGATTCATAGTGGTTCTCCTGTTTTCAGCCTCCCCAGCACTGGGATTACAGGTGTATGCCACCATGTTTGGGATTCCTGGGCCAGCACAGCATGTACTACGGGGGATCAAGTCCAGGTCCTTGAGCTTGCCAGGCAGGTTCTTAGACCACCGAGCTATCTCCCTGGCCCTATAATCTTTTTTAATATTTAGAAGGGCTTTAGAGCTGAAATTTCCCACTCAACATATGTATCAACTGACTTTTTTTATGCATTGGGTGCTGTGTTGGGTTCTGGGATGAAATAAATAACAGACATAGTCTTTGCATTTGTGGAGCTTGCAGCATGATAAAGGAGACAAATATAAATTAACTGGGCACATTTATGTAGTATAAATTGACAGAACTACAGTACAGAAAAGCAGCATGGTTCTTTTTTCCCCTTCAGTACCAGGGATTAAACTCAAGACTTTGTGCATGCCAGTCAGGCGCTTATGCCACTGAGCTATCTCTCTGGCCCCAGGAATATGGTTCTTAAGAGCTAGTTACAAAGGCATCTGACTGAAACTTGGAGGAGGTGACTTTGGAGAATAAGCAAGAGCCAGATCTGGGAAAGGGGATCAGGTAGTAGACCATGTGAGACAGAGGGAGCATCTCTGGTGGGAGTGCAGCTGAGTGTGTTGAAGAACAGGAGGAGAAAGTAGGCCTGGAGTCCAGAGTGGAGAAGGGAGGAGCGTTTGCTACCAGAAGAAGCTTGTGGGTCCAGGGTGCCGTTAGAAGGGGGAAATACCATTGAAAGGGTCTCAGTGGGTGCTGGTAGATAAGATCGGTAGCTTGAAGAGGTTAGGGGATGGCTGGAAAGAACTGCTGCAGTGGTTCTGGGGTACCTTGAGAGCAGCTTGAACTGCTTTGGAGAAAGTGCCTTTAGGGACAATTGAACAGATTTGATGAGGATTGGAAGGATGTGAGCTAGACTGGCTGTAGGACAGAAAGAAATAAAGGAGGTGTCAGGGGGCTTCTTAGTTTTGCAGCTTGTACACTTGCCATAGAGTAGTGCTGTTTGTTGAGGTTGGGAAGACCAGAGAATTTGCACACATTTCTCAAAAACCTTTCAGTTTCAAAGAAGCTTGGAGGGCTAAGAGGGAAGAATAAGAGTCTATTTTAGCCCAAAAGAAATATTTTTAAGTGTAAAATTAGATAATTTTAGTGTTTAAGTTGTTTTGATTGGGGGAAATGTATTAATATAGCATAACATTAAAATTCATTAATTTACAGTTAACTATTTAAACATTCAGTTACTCTGCTGTTGTTAATGACTTCTCTTTGGTTTCAGAACTTTTTGTCATCCAGAGTAACACCCCACTGTCACTAAGCAGTCACTCCCCATTCTTCTCTCCCCCATCACCTGGCAACCACTTTCTGCTTTCTGTCTCTGTAGACTTGCCTATTCCAGATGTTTCTATAATAGGAATCCTATACTACGTAGCCATTTTAACTGACTACTTTTAGCATAGTGTTTTTGAGGTCATGTTATAGCATGTAGCTATATTTCACTTCACTCCTTTTTTATGGATAAATTTAAATAATTTTACAACAGGTTAAACAATTTCCACTGGTGGACATTTGAGTTTCTCCCTACTTTTTGGCCGTTTTGTAAATAATGCTGCTATGAACATTTGCATACTATTTTAAATTCTTTTAAGTATATACGTACGAATTATGTCGTAATTCTGTGTTTAAAGAGATACCAGGCTTTTCCATAGCAGCTGCACCATTTTTGTTTTTATCAGCAACATATGAGGGGTCTACTTTTTTACATATTCTTGCCAGTACTTGTGTTATAGCCGTCCTAAGAGATATGAAAATGGTATCTTATAATGATTTTTGTTTTGTTTTTCAGCGATCATTCTCAAATGTATTTTTTCTTACGGTAATATATATATAACATTTGGTGGTCATAAGCATATTCACAGTGTTGGATGAACTTCCACCATCATCCAGCTCTAGAACTTGCTCATGTTCCTAAACTTAAACTATGAACCTGTTAGTAAGACCTCACTCTGCTCTTTCCCCAGCTCTTGTCATCATTCTGTCCTCTTTTTTTCTGTCATTTTGACTATTCAAGATATCTCTGTTGGCTTTGAGGGGTTTTTTATATTAATTTTATTAAGAAATAGCAATGAGACAGATTCAAAACAGGTTAGTAGGACAGTTACAAAAATTAATACATTGCATATTGTTGTCATCATAGTAGTTATTCATAGTACAAGATGCAGACATGGTATCTTGTCTAAGCACTATTCAAAATTTTCTTCTCATTGAACTAAGAGAAAGTAGCTGTATATCT